TCGTCGAACGTGACGTCCTGAGACGCAAGGACACGGCGCGATGTGGGGTGGTAAAACTGCCAACCAGGCGCGTCAGGGACAAAGCCAAGGAAGACACAAGGAACAGCGCGAGAGGAGAGCTTGTCCGCGGACAAAGGCACGAGCACCCCAGACCCGGAAACGCGACGCATCGCCAACCTCCCCCGTCCACAGCAGTGTGGGCGAAGTCTCCGGCAAGGAGACACGGGGCCAGAGGTTGAGCTGATGCGCGGCGTACCGGACCGCAAACGGCCACAGAAAATGGGGGGCAGCCGCATGGATCATGGAGGTACGAGTGACCTCCATGACTAAGCCAATGCGGCGCTTAGCAACCCCATTCTGCTGCGGAGAGGCCGGAAGCGTGAACGACTGGGTGATGTCGTGCTCCTCACAGAAGGATCGTAAGAGGTCGGAGGAAACGACTGGGTGATGTCGTGCTCCTCACAGAAGGCTCGTAAGAGGTCGGAGGAGAACTCACCACCTCGGTCAGAGTGCAGACGCAAGACTGGAAAGTCCGACTGGAACCGCTCGCGGAGCTGGAGACGAGCAGCGCGGATCCAGGGGATCAAAACAGCAGGGACGTCTCCCTTGCTGCGCAAGGGGAAGACCGTGGTGTAGCACGTGTAGTCGTCGACTACCAGCAGGAAGTACCGCTCGCGGCCCTGTCCCTGGACGCGGGCCGGGCCCCACATGTCCTGGTGGAGAGTCTGCAGTGGAGCCTCTGTGGGAGGGAACGAGGAGGAGTGAGGAGCGGCGTGCTGCCGCCCCTCGACACAGGGAAGACAGGGAGGAGCAGGCGAGGGTGGGAGGGGAGGGAGAACCCTGGGAAGACCAGAGACAAGGACACGGCGGTGCATGCTGCGAAGGCGCTGCACCGAGGGGTGACCAAGGCGGTGGTGCCAAAGGAGGGTCTGGTGCGACAAAGCACGAGCAAGGGGGTGCTAGCTGACCTGACGCAGACACAGACGCAGCTACCTTAGGAGACGTAGTGGTCAGGGTGTACAGACTCAAGCCAGGCGCACGGGTAAACGTGGCCAGGTGTCGGCCCGTCCGAGCACACGTACAGTGGGTCACTCGCTGACTCGCAGGAGTGAACTGGTCAACCCCGCCATCCTGGAGGTCAGCTCCACTCACCAAGTTCGTAGAGAACGAGGGGAGGTAGAGACCGGACAGCGAGCCAGACGGGGCGGCCGGACACGGCAGAACCGTGGAGTAGTGGGCAAGGACTGGACCCCTAGAGGGGTCGGCCAGGGAGACCGCAACGGGCCGACTAAGCGGCGTGAGTGTGGTGCAGTCGCGAAAGAAGGAGCGGGAAGCACCTGAGTCAAGAGTGAAGATGTAGAAGGTCTAAGCAGGCGCAGTACCAGAGAGAGCAGACTCACCAGCACCTAGGGCAGGAGACGCACGAGTAACCGGAGCAGCAGCCTCACCAGCACCTAGAGCAGCAGCCGCTATACCTGGGTCAGGCGGTAAGCACAGGTAACAGGCACCATCAACACTAGTAGACAACGCATACATGGCAGTGAGAATAGCATCATAGTCTAGAGCAAAGATATCTATCCTCTGCCTAAGCAGCTCCAGCCAGGTGGGGAGCTCAGCCGCGTCGCCAAACTCGGTACGCCAGGCGTCGCTCAGACGGGCGAAACAGCGGGACTGTGTGTGACCAAGGGTCCCGCAGGCCTGACCAGTCCGAGCACCTGTGCGAATGACGTACGGGCAGCGAGCAGTACTCCGAGACCCTCTACTCTGAGCGTACCACTCCTCAAGCTGCTGGGGCGTAAGTGTCTCGCGCGGACGCCGCTGCAGCTGCAGCTGGCCACTGCCACACGCTCTCGTCTGACCAGCGCCAGGGCGACAGCCACGACGACTACCTCCACAACCCCAACTAATGTACCACTCATGAAGCTGCCGGGGTGTGAGGGACTCGCGCGAAAGTCGCTGGGGCTGCATCGTACTACCGCCAGCAGCAGTAGCAGCGCGGGCAGGGTAGGTGCGACAGGCAGGCAGGCAGGCAGGCAGGCCGGCAGGCAGGCAGGCAGGCAGGCAGGCAGGCAGGCAGGCAGGCAGGCAGGCAGGCAGGCAGGCAAGCAGGCAGGCAGGCAGGCAGGCAGGCAGGCAGGCAAGCAGGCAGGCAGGCAGGCAGGCCGGCAGGCCGGCAGGCAGGCAGGCAGGCAAGCAGGCAGGCAGGCCGGCAGGCAGGCAGGCAGGCAGTCAGGCAGGCAGGCAGGCAGGCAGGCTGGCAGGCAGGCAGGCAGGCAGGCAAGCAGGCCGGCAGGCAGGCAGGCAGGCAGGCAGGCAGGCAGGCAGGCAAGCAGGCAGGCAGGCAGGCAGGCCGACAGGCAGGCAGGCAGGCAGTCAGGCAGGCAGGCAGGCAGGCCGGCAGACAGGCAGGCAGGCAGGCAGGCAGGCCGGCAGGCAGGCAGGCAGGCAGGCAGACAGGCAGGCAGGCAGGCAGGCAGGTGCTCACCAGTGACGGGCAGTGGGGCCGCGAAAGCGGCTGCAGAGAAGGGCCGCGTCGGCTGTAGGGCGGTGCGGCGTCAGCGGCAGGGTGGGGCCAGGCGGGGCCGCGACAGCAAAGGCCGGAAGGGCAGGCGCTCGTCGGGCGAGCAGGGCCGGCGCTCGGCGGGCGGCGGCCGGGTAGGCGCACGACGGCGGCGACGGCGGGGCCGCAACAACGGCTGCAGAGTAGGGCCGCGGCAGCTGCAGGGCGGGGCCGCTTCAGCGGCAGGTCGGGGCCGAGGCAGCTGCAGGGCTGGGCCGCGTCAGTGGCAGGTCGGGGCCGCTTCTGCGGCCGGGCGGGTCCGCGCGAGTGGTGCGCGGGGCAGCAGCAGGCCGCGCGCGGGCTGCACGGGCGCGGGGCGGGCTGCGGGAGGCAGCAGTGGGCCGCGCGCGGCTCGGCGCGGGCTGCGAGGGACAGCGCGCGGGGTTGCTACGGGCCGCGCGCGGGCTGCGCGAGGCAGCAGCGGGCTGCGCGTGGCTTGGCGCGCCTGCGCGCGGCTCGGTGCGTGCTGCGCGGGCGGTGGGATGGGCCGTGCGCGGGCGGGCGTGGCTCAGGGCGGGCCGTGCGGGCGGCGGTACGGGCTGCGCGCGGGCGGAAATGCGCGCGCGGGGCTGCGGGGCAGCGGAGCGGGCGACGCGCGGGGCTGCAGGGCAGCGCGACGGGCCAGGGCAGGGCTCGCGCGGGGCCGCAAGGCACGGCGACGGGCGGCGCGCGGGTCTGCAGGGCAGCGCGACGGGCCAGGGCAGAGCGCGTGCGGGGCTGCAGGGCAAAGCAACGGGCGGCGCGCGGGGCTGCAGGGCAGCGCGACTGGCAGGCAGGCAGGCTAGGCAGGCAAGGCAGATAGGGCGTGGGGTAGCACGGTAACCGCAGGCAGTAGTTCGTGGGCCCTAAAAAAAATCGATCCTGAGGTCCTAGGGACCTCCTGCTCTGAATACCATGTTGAAATCTAGAGACAGGAATGATTGGATTGAAAGAAGCAAGGGTACAAATAGGAAACCCTAGTTGGGGTTGTACCCCATATTGGCTACCCCACTACAGCCTACAAACATATAACACATTTATACTTTGACATTACCGTCATACCCCGGATAGAAGCGCCCCTGGGGTTGTAATAAAACACTGTTTTTTAGGGGGTGCGCTTATAATTGAGGAAATTTATAAGCGCCGGCGTTTATATAATGACATAGATGAAATCCCGTAAGAGTTTTGCCTCTTTGTTGTACCGTCATACCCCGGATAGAAGCGCAGGCCTATGATAAGCGCCGGCGCTTATAAAAGGATGAGGGCGCTTATATCCGGTCCTCGATTATAAGCGCACCCCTGAAGGCTTACGGATTATAAGCGCCACCCTTTGTAATATTTTCTTATATGTTTACTAGAATCGCTGTAACGAAACACGATTTTCCATTCTCACATTCAGAATTTCGAATCCCTTCACCCTCGCGCGACTCAATGCCTTCGCGTCCAGTCAGAATGAGCTGTCATGGGGTCAATCTGACTCATTCTGACTGTGTGTGTTGGCATGGAATCAACCACTGCCAATTCACGCGAAATTCACATTCATTGCCCTCTACAATATCGATTCGATTCAAATCACAAGGACGAGATGAACACTTCGGTGTAAAAAAAACTAGATTTCATCTATGTCATTATATAAGCCCCGGCGCTTATAAATTTCCTCAATTATAAGCGCACCCCCTAAAAAACAGTGTTTTATTACAACCCCAGGGGCGCTTCTATCCGGGGTATGACAGTACTGCTGGTCATTCTTATGGGCCTTGAACTAGGAACTCCAATCTTACTAGTAATTGTAAAGCAAACAGTCACTAATGATTCTAGTACAAGACATTTCTATCTAGCCATGTACTCTAAGGGGTACATTCCCTTATTGAGGAACCGCAAGCAAGCAAAATGGACAGCCAACAGACACCATGACCAGCCAAACACCCAGAAATACAACAAAGGAAGCCCTGTTTCCCAGTGAATGCAGCTGACGTCTAGTATTGTGATGAGGGGAGACCTTGCCCCCTCTATGCCACACAATGGCCAAGCCTCTTCTATCTATCCTCCCTTCTAGAGGCACTCAAGCAGGGACTGTCCTGATGCACGCAAATCATGCCTTCATCCTCTTTGGCAGCTGTGCGATAATGTGCAAAAAAAACATCTTCAAAACTAGCTGATGGGCTGATGAGGGTGTGCCATCACGAGAGCAATGAGGGTGTTCCATCAGTAGAGTAGACATTCCTCATGGCCATGCTGAGGGCACCTTGCCTGATGATGGGGGGAGACGGAAAAGGAGGTGAATATGCAAGGGACAAGCTGACGGGTTGGACAACGACTGCGGAAGAATCTCTTGGGGATAGGGTGAGAGAAAGAGGATGACGGAAGAATTGGATGGGGGACGGGGGAGGGGGGGGATTTGGGTGGAAGGGAGAGGGAGGATATTGTAAGACACATGCAGGAGAATTAAGTAGGTTCTTACCAACGCAAGCCTTGGTGGTCAGCGGGACACCCTTGTTGCAGATGCAGAACGGAATCCCGTCCACCCTCCTCACGCACGTCGAGATGGTGGTGTTGCAGCCCTTGAAGGGGCACCAATCTGGAGGGGGAGTATGAGGAAAAAACAGTTCTTTCTGATACACGACCTAGAGGACAATACAAACCCTCCCCGTCCTCCCCCAGAAGAACAGCAGGCTGCCACATGCCAACAGCAGGAAACGGGAGGTGCGAAGAGGTGCAAGGGAAATAGAATGCGCAAGCTAAGAGAAGGGGAGAAGATAGGCAAACGAGTGAAGCTGCTGCTGCAAAACACGTACCCTGGCAAAAGCCGCCCACTGCCCTGTGGAAGTAATCATCGCATTTGCAGTATGCCTGGCCGGTGGTGACCTCTTTGGCGCAGTGCTCCTTGGGACCAGTGCAGCTCAGGATCTCGCAGTTATCTGAGGGTAGGGGATTGGAAGAATGGGTTGACAAAAGGGTCAGAAAAGAGGGGTTGGAGGTTGGTTGAGGGTTAAGGTTTAATGGAGGACGTTTTTGAAAATTGAGCAGATGCCCTAAGAAATAGGAGAGTAGGAAACAGCATGGTGAGCACGTACCTTTGCACGTGGTGCCATCAGGCTGCAGCGTGAAGCCCAGATCGCAAACACAGGATGGCTCTCCAGTGGTGCTGTCCTTGTGGCACTTGCCGTTTACGCCACACCCCTTCAACTCGCACGTGTCTGGAAGGGCAGGGTTGAAGGAAAAGTGGAAGCAAAGGTGGCTTCCGAGAAGGGGGAGTGGCGTGGGCATACAAACACACATAAACACAAAAGGAATGAGAAAGCACAAATGCATAGAGACGCACACATACGCCGAGGGAGGGAGAGCAAAAGAAGCAGTAAATGCAAAGGGCCTATTATGAACTACCAGCCCCTGAGCTGGCAGGTATAGGGGAGAGGGGAGGGGTGGTGGCAGGAAGGGCAAGCATACCAATGCATTTGCCCTCAAACAGATTGAACCCAGTCTTGCAGACACAGGTGGCATCGGTGCCATTCTTGACACACGTGGAATTGGCATCACTGCCTTCACAGTCCTTGATAATGCACACATCTGCACGGAGGGTCAAACAGAGATGAATAAGAAAGAGGAAAAAAGTTTGGGAAATAGGAGATGACTGCAGCACAACAGCAAATAACAGCCTTGGAAACACAGTGGCACCTACCATTGTCAGCATCGACAAACGCCGGCCCTTACCTTTGCACGTCCTCTCGTCATCCAGCAGCACGAGGCCAGCGTCGGCGTCACAATGGCAGGATGCCGCTCCAGTAATGCTGTTTTGGCGGCACAGGCCATTCACACATGCCTTCACCTCGCACGTGTCTGGGAGGGCAGGGGCGGAGGGGATGTGGAAGGAGGGGTGGAGAGGCGTAAGCGAAAGGTAGTTTGAGAGAGCAGTAAAACGTGGACGAGTCAATGAAAAGCAGATAAACATACGCACCCACAGAGAGGCACACACCCAGGCACACACAAAGTGAGTCGAGGAAGCATACCAGTGCATACGCCCTGGAGCAGCTCGTAGTTGATCACGCATTCACAGTGAGCCACGTCCCGATTCCTCACACACATGGACTTGGCGTCCTTGCCCTCACAGTCCTCGATGACGCAAACATCTGAAAGGCGGACGGGAGAGAAGTGGGAGAGAAAAAAAAGACGGCACAGAGGTACAGCAATTGCAATCGGCACAACACACACGAGATTGAGCCCACAGCAGCACATAACAGTGTTGCAAACACAGGGGGGCCTACTCAGCAGCAACAAATGCCAGCCCTTACCTTGGCACGTCCTCTCGTCATCCAGCAGCACGAGGCCAGCGTCGGCGTCACAATGGCAGGATGCCGTTCCGTTGACGTCCTGGGTGCACGTGCCATCCACACACGCCTTCACCTCGCACGTGTCTGTGAGGGCAGGCGTGAGAGAGAAGTGGAAAGAGGGGTGATTCAGCAAAAGGTTGATTAAGAAGGAGAGAAATGTGACAAAAACCAACATATGCACGCACAGAGAGGCAGACCCAGGCACACAGAAAGTGAGAGCAGGGAGCGTACCAGTGCATTTGCCCTCAAACAGCTCGAATCCAGTCTTGCAGACACAGGTTGCAACGATGCCATTCTTGACACACATGGAGTTGGCATCACTGCCTTCACAGTCCTTGATAATGCACACATCTGCACGGAGGGTGAACCAGAAACGGAAAGATGACAAAGTTTGGAAAGTAGGAGATGACTGCACCACAACAGCACATAACAGAGTTGAAAACACAGTGTCACCTACCATTGTCAACACGCCGACCCTTACCTTGGCACGTCCTCTCGTCATCCAGCAGCACGAGGCCAGCGTCGGCGTCACAATGGCACGATGCCGTTCCGTTGACGTCCTGGGTGCACGTGCCATCCACACACGCCTTCACCTCGCACGTGTCTGTGAGGGCAGATGCGGAGGGGATGTGGAAGGAGGGGTGGAGGGGATTAAGCAAAAGGCCAATCCAGAGTGGACAAAGCAACAAAAAGCAGATACACAGACGCACGCACAGAGAGGCAGACCCAGGCACACAGAAAGTGAGAGCAGGGAGCGTACCAGTGCATTTGCCGTCAAACAGCTCGAATCCAGTCTTGCACACACAGGTTGCAACGATGCCATTCTTGACACACGTGGAGTTGGCATCACTGCCTTCACAGTCCTTGATAATGCACACATCTGCACGGAGGGTGAACCAGAAACGAAAGGATAGATGAGAAAGTTTGGAAAGTAGAACACAGTGTCACCTACCATTGTCAACACGCCGGCCCTTACCTTGGCACGTCCTCTCGTCATCCAGCAGCACGAGGCCAGCGTAGGCGTCACAATGGCAGGATGCCGTTCCGTTGACGTCCTGGGTGCACGTGCCATCCACACACGCCTTCACCTCGCACGTGTCTGTGAGGGCAGATGCGGAGGGGAGGGGTGGAGGGGAGGCGTGGAGGGGAGTGAGCATAAGGTAGCTTGAGAGAGGAGAGTAAAGCGGACGCATTAGTTAAGACAGAGAGGAAGACACCCAGACACACACAAACTAAGACCTATGAGCGTACCAGTGCATACGCCCTCGAACAGCTGGAAGTTGGTCTTGCATACACAGTGGGCCACGTCCAGATTCCTCACACACGTAGAATTGGCGTCTTTGCCCTCACAGTCCTCGATGACGCACACGTCTGAAAGGCGGACGGGAGACAAGTGCGGAAGAGACGAGACGCCAAGTTAGAAACTACGTAGCAGCACAGCAGCACATACAGGAGTTGCAAACAGCACAACATACACCAGCTTAAGCCAACAGCAGCACCTACCGCAGCAGCGCGCACCATATTGAGCACGTACCCTTGCACGTCCTGCCGTCAAGCTGCAGCTTGAAGCCAGCCTCGGCGTCACAGGAACAGACGGCCATCCCATTTTCATCCTTGCTGCACGTGCCGTCCACACAGGCCTTAAGCGTGCATGAGTCTACCAAGGGAGGGCAGCGATGGGGGGGAGGGGAGGGAGGTGGGTGAGACGAGAGCGGGCAGAAAGGGAAGAGAGGTACACAAGGAGCAGGCAGCAGAATGAAGCGGGTGAGAGTTAAGAAGCTTGAAGCAGGCAGATGCGAAGCACAGCAGAGCAGCACTGACCGACGCAGCCCCGGTCGGGCGTCATGGCGAAGCCCCAGTTGCAGACGCACGTAGCCAGCTGGCCTTCCTGCTTGACGCACGAGGAATTGGGGTCATCCATGGCACACCATGTGCCGGCACACGGGTCTGCAAGGGCATGGGGCAGGAGCATGGAGGCAAGAGAACGATCACGCTGAGATGAAAGTCTCGCACACTCCATGGTGGCGCACGACCCTGCCACGTGGCGCAGTGGGGCCAAGGCGAGACATGGGGCATGGGGCATGGGCAAGAGGGAGGGGGGGGGAGGGGAAGAAGAAAAGACACAATGAGATTCAGCCACCAAGGAAGAACACAACGCTCCAGCTAAGGGGAGGGGCACCCTTCCAGCATGCTCAAAGTAAAAGGGGGGAAGCCTCAACCCCCGAAGCAAAGGGGTGATGTATCGTACGTGCGCATGACTTGTCGGGTTGCAGCACGTATTCGGGGTTGATGCACACGCAGACTGCGTCGCCCGTGTCGTTCTTCTTGCACACCGAGTCGGTGCCACAACCCGCAAACTTGCACTTGTCTGGAGCAGGCAGGCAACACGTGGAGGACACACGCAGACACACAGAGAACACACGTGAGCACGTGAGGAGAACATGTGCAGGCATGTAACACGCACAAACACGAAGCGAGGAGCGATATTTTGGGGTGAAGAGATGTTGGTGACATGTATGGCATGTAGAAGGTATGGCAGCAGGCACAGGCCAGACAGGGAGATTTCACAAGGTTGGCGATACAGGCGTGCAAGAATTCAGGGTGGAGCCATGTGTAGCACGCAAGAGGGAGAGGGGTGAAGCACACACCAGCGCAGTTGCCGTCTATCCTAGCCTGCCCCCACGGGCAGGGCGGCAGCGGCGCGTCGCGGATAGCCTCCGCCATAGGCGCACACACTGGCGCGCAGGGGGAATGGGGGGAGAGGGGGAGGGGGAGAGTGGGAGGAGAGGAAATAAGGAGAGAAGGCGGAGAGCAAGGAGGGCAGCAGTTTCAAGTTTTGGAGTGAAGGGAAAAGGTAGGAGTGCATGAGAGCAGGATGAGCCACGAGCGCAGCGACCACGAGCCCACGAGAACCCATGATGCCGCATCATACCCGAGAGCACGAGAGCAACCAATGCAGCGAGCACGAGTCCACGGGAGCCCATGATGCTGGTGCTGCTGATGACGAGCCTGGTGAGTCTTGTGACGCTCGTTACTATGCTGCCGCCGCTCGTGGCGATGCTGGTGCCACAGTGACTATGCTGATGCGCGCTCGTGGCGATTCTGGTGCCGCAATTGGCGCTGGCGAAACTGATGACGAGCAGGCAGCAGTCTCTCGGGGGTGGAGCCTGATGATTGGCTGGGGAGCACGAGCCTGATGATGTCAGTGATAGCTAAGCAGCATAGGTAAGCAGGAACCAGAAAGGGGTGAGTCGCGAGCAGCGAAGGCGATAGTAGTATGTGATTGAGCCCCAAGCGCGCCGGGCTTGTATACTATAGGAAGTCTCGCCTCCCTCCTCCTTTCTTCCCCCTCCCCTCCCCTTCCCTTCCCCCTTCCTGCTCCCATGGGGACCTTTTCCCCCGAGATGTCTTCCCCCTCGCCCCAGAAAGCGCGAGGACCAAAGGGGAAAGTCAAGCGCTTGACTTAGCGCCTGCACTATTTGGTGTCCAGCGGAGCGGGGGAGAGCTTATCCCCCTATTATCCCGGGGGAGAGCTTATCCCCCTATTATATCCCGGGGGAGAGCTTTATCCATCCTCCGCGGAGAGCTTATCCTCCGCGGGGAGCTTATCCTCCGCGGGAGAGCCTATAACTCTCTGGCACTGTGTGAATTTGGATGACACTAGGAACAACCCTTCAGAAATTGACTTCAGAAAGGCGCCGCCGCGCCTTCCGCCTGCTCGAAACGGACTGTCGAAACGGAGTCGTCTCGGCGGCAATACACGACAAAAGGCACGGTGGCCACTAACGACACACCACCACTCCTCACCTTTTTGTCGATTACTAACGACAGCTGGTATCTACGTCGATTACCAGGTACATTATCCGATCTGTGATTGGCTGCGAAGATTACTATAACGGGCGCTCATCCACCATCCACCCAAACCGATTTTCCGTCAGCTTTGGCGGGCAGTGCCCTATCACCGCGCGTGATCCATCAACCACAAAAATCGAAGCGGATTGCGATGCAGTCCGGGAAACGACAGAGCATGCAAACAGTAAACACTGTCGTTTGCCTGGAAAGAGAATTCACGGTGGACGTCGAGCGCCGTATCATCCCGGGGCATCTAGCGGCGTAAAATCATCCACGGTGGATGACCTCTCGCATTTCGCTTGCCGGCGAGCGGCGAGAAATCTCGAAGAAAGAGCCACGCTGGTTCGAGAGAGACAACGAGGCACGTTGGCCCGAGAGAGACGAAGAGCCATGTTGGCTCGAGAGAGACAACGATCCATGTTTGCATAGCTACAAGAGCCTAAGCAGTCGAGGGCATTCGACGGAAGTCGACAGTGGGAGGAAGGGAGCTCTCTCTGCTGTGTGCCATTCTGGCGTGAAGTGGGGCGATCCAGCACTGCCATAACCGCTGACGAAAATAGAGCGACACAGGGGGTTACACCTGTTGCCTGCGGCGAGGGGATCGAGTTCCCTCTCCCTTGTGTCTTCGCGAGCGGAAATGAAGCCTCCGAAACGAAGTCAAGCATTTTGGCGTGGAGTGGGCGATACACCACTGCGTTCTCCTGGGGTTATTACACGTATCGTTACAGTACTGGCGCACAATCACACTTGGTAAGTTGGTTATAACTAACTGTCATTGAAAAGGCCGAATCTAGCACGGGGGATCACTCGTCGCCCCACACTATAATACCTGGTCCCCGCCAATTTCACGTCCTGCAACAGCTTTCAAGAAACTCCCCTCTCCCATTTTTCATCTTTTTCCATTTTAAATGTTATGATTAGTTCTTTAAAATAACGAGTGTCGCAAAACTCCCGCACTGCGACCACCTCGCATTGTGTGAAAGTTTAGTTGTGACCCACTTGTAGCACCCCATCTCGTATGAAAAGGCTAGAACATTGCTTCAAATCGAACCGTTGGTTCGGGTAAAGAGAAAATTATTGTCTCGGTGCGAAATTGGTGGTATTCAAATTGGCGAGGACAATGTGTATCAGGGCTCTAGTTATCAATGTAATTTATCTCCCCCCCCCCCCCCCCCCCCCCCCCCATCCCCACCCATTTTCCCCGAAATCCGTCGGTTCGTGATTTCCATTAATCACGCAACTACCGATGTTTCCTTCTGTGCAGTTTGTTCATTGGCAGCAGTCTCGTGTTTGATTGGTCACTTTTGTACCGTATGTTTCCCTTTCCAACATGCCACGAAAACTCACACTGCTGTTGCAGGGGAAAATTTTCCAAAACTCGAAGTTACACTGATCCATCAGTGTAATGAATAAATACACACTGCTTAGAAGGGTTATTGAAACAGCTACACTGCCAATTGTGAGTAGGCAAAATCCAAACCTAAGCCCTGATGTGTCTTTTCTTCCATCACTAGAAAAAATGCTCGCACGAAAGTTGAAAATTTCCCCTTCAAAGCCGCACTGTTGCGACGTAGGTGTTACGATATGGATTTTACGCATTTCTAAAATGAACTACACTATTCGAATTGTAGCAGCGAAGCTCCCAATATCGAGGCAGTTGACCCAAGTATCGAGCTATAGGGGCGCAACCGTGCATAGTGGCTGCGCCTCACGTGGTAGCTGAAGGGTCAAATTCGACAGGAGGCAGCACGCACTGTGCACGAAACTGCCCTGCAGGGCGCGGCAGAATACCGTGCCATTGCCGAAGTTGAAAAGTTGTAACAGCGCGACTGTAACAGGGCAACCCAAGGGACGGGGCCAACTGTTATACAGTTGCGCCACGGTAACTGCCATATGTGTTTGCTATATAACTCAATGTAATGCATGCCTCTTGTAACACAATTTTCAACCTTGTGTCCGGCTTTCCCCCGGCTGCCGCAGTGGCAACACGTGCTAGGCCAGAAGTGCTACCTCTGAGTGACCATTTGCCTCGTCGTAGGGACGTCGTTATTCTCCTAGAGCCTTCCGCTGCGCTCTAGCGATTTTCAGATTGTAACATGGTATGAGAGCTACTCAGGGATTCTTCACATCACCATCTCTATTCAAATTCAAATTCAAGGTGGCGTCCGATACTCGCTCCCGTCCGGTACAAGCCTCCGCCAACCCAACTGCGAACTCCGCGAGCACCATCACCATTAGCAATGCGCTTCTGAAGCAACTCATCCAACGAATCACCACCCCGGTATCAGAAATTCAACAATTGAAGAGCGGCAACCCAGGAACCTCGCAGCAACCCGAACAACGGACCACTTTAAGCGTGGAACCGAGCCCGCGACACTGACGAATCTAAAGCTCAGTATATAACGAGTCACTCATGGCGTATAGTATACTCCTCCGCAACATGGCGCCAGCCGAACAACTCGGCATTCACCCCTTCAAAACCCACCTAGCCCCCGCCATGGGCGTCTAGAACTATCTTACCAAAACCTATCAGCCCAAGGACTCCGTGTCCTCCAGCCGCCTCCTCAAGCAACTCATGGAGGTTAAAATTATGCCCAACGAAAAGGCAAATGCCTACACCAACAGCTGTAGTAGCATTCTCGATCAGCTCATGAAGCTCGGAAACTCCATCCCCGAAGACATGTTCGTCACAATTATACTTCGGGGCCTGGGACCGCAACAGACCCCGTGCAAAGCCCTGCTTCGCCAACGGGGCATAATCTGAGAAGCGCACTTCTGCGCCACTCTGCTACACGAACATCAAGACATGGATTTGAACCAAGAAAAGGGGACGCGCCGCGAACAAATTGTCTTCTACTCTCATCGCGACCAGCGATGCCCCGCGACTCACGCCCTCGACAATATTTCTGCAACAATTGCAAGACCTTTGGACATTCCACCGAACGCTGCCGCTCATAACCACGACACGATCTCGCGCCGCACAACAACCTAAACTACGGCCCCGACCATTTACGCCATGCAAATAGACCGCCTTAGGACCATCGGTCTGCCCCGCGTCAACCCCCTCAGTCTGACCCGCAGAGGCTGCCACAAAACAACAGCAACAACGTTCGGCACGTCATCGGCAACATGGCGATGCGCGTTCAGCGCCGCACCCGGTGCACCAACCGAAGACACCTCCACTACGTATCTACAACAACTTCTTTACACAAGACGAAGAGCTTGTCTCTGACGAACACGAACAAGACTGGGACCTCCCGACACCCTTGCTCAAGTCGCCACCGCACAACGAAGACTTAATAAACTCGCCATTCATCACCAACTACTACTTCGGACACTACATCTACACTTGGCCCGTCGAAAGCTATCGCTATGCTGGCGACAAGCGCATCCCTTTTCGCAACACCCCAAACCTTGCACTCTCGGCACAAAACCGTGCTAACAACTAGAACACGTGGTATCTCGACAGCTCCTGTGGGCAACACATGGTGGGATCCAAGTGTTTCATCTCCAACGCACGACACATCCCAAATCCCACCGTCATGACCGTGGCCAACAATCAACAACTTGAAGCACGAGCGTGCAGCATCGTCGTCCTCAAAGCACACGAAAGCGACACCCACATCATACTCATCGTGCGGGACATAAAGTACAACCTGCTCTCCTACGAACAGCTTGCCAACAACGGCGTCCTCATGACCACAGATCCAGAGAGTCGGTGCATCCTGATGCACTGGAAAGATTACAGCCGCCCCGACAACGAACCGCACTACATCAGAAAGGCGCGCCCTGACAACAGCGTCTACATCTTGAACTTCGACATCCCAGACTGCCGCGCCGACTCCCGTGGCCATGTTGATCTCTAGCCCCAG